TTCACTTTTGGTCCAGAGAGTCTGCTGTTCTGTGATTGATTATATGGAAAGCATTGTCCTGAGTGGCAGTGACAGCCTTTTCCATGGTGGCTGATCCTATACAAATTGCTACAAGGCTTTGATGAGGTTTCATTAACCTTGTATTCCAGAGCCAGGACAGACTCACCCTATGGGGCCCCTAGAGATTACTGGGTGAGTGGATTTGCAGGATGAAAAGAGAATGGCTTTTTCATCTCATCCTTCACACAGACCATATGTGCTTTCCCTTGCTTATGGACCATGGGGTGCAGCCCTATCCCCTCTCAGGGTGGTACCTCGTTTCACACAGAACAGGCGTGTGGGTTCCAAAGATGTAGGGAAAGTGAGGGCTGCTTTCTTCACCCCCATTGTTCTGGCATCAGGAGGAAACCCAAGAGTGTGGACACGTGGTCAGTGAGGAGTGCCAAGGCTCTTGACCATAAGGCCCTGGGTGGGCTCCAAACGGGAACCTGGGCAAGGCTTGTAGTCTCCCCAGGCTCACCATGAGCCCTGGCTTCATTCTTGTGTCCAGGGTGTTGGTCAAACATAACTGTTTTCCTTTGGTCAGTGAAGGGTAATTGATGTGAAGATCAGTGGAGGTCCTCCTTCCAATGGATTAAATGACTGCCGAAGAATTTGAGATCCCACAGCTGTCTTCCCCTTGTGGCATCCTTGGATCCCCATAGCCATAGCCCCCTTTGCTGGCCTAGGCTCAGCTATGGCCTGGGCTTGGTTGTCTCCCTGCAGTAAGAGGATGCTGTCCTCTGCCTCACAGCCCATGCTTGCTAAGGAAGGAGCTCTGGCTGCTACCTTCCTTCTCACAAGCCCACTGAAGCCTGGGCCTTGGCCTCTCTTTCCCCTGAAGACTAAGGAAGGGCCTGGAAACCCAGAAAAGTACTCCCCTTCTTTAACATTACCTGCTGTCCCTGAGTACCTAGGACTCCTCATGGTTAGACACATTGGATCTAGGAACTCTAGGCAGGTTCAGCACCCAACCCAGACGTGGACTCAGATGGGGACTCATCCATGCTGTGTCTGGCGTGTCATACTCCATTGAGGAATGATCTTGCATTTGCAGCAGCTTGGATCTTGATGCCACTACATACATAGGCGAGGCCCCAGGCTTGCCTCTTGCTCACAGGCCTCTTGCCTGTCTCCAGGCTTCTCGCTGCAGTCTTTGGCTGGAAGCCAGTCTCAAGCCCTCAGTGAGTGTGTTGGGGAACCAGGGATGGGATGTCCTATCTACAGATGAGCTTCTCAGATGACCTACACTCAGGATGTGCCTGGGGCAAACAGGAAACTCTGGACCAGAGAAACGTGATCCTTGCTGTACAAGACTGGCCTCCTGCCTCAGCCTGGCTGTGTCCTGTGCACATGTGACCGCACCCCTGGGCTAGTTTTAGTCTTGCCCAAGTAACTTCTACCTCCTTTCCTGCACTCTGGAGTTCACTCAAGGTGAGGCTCCACAGTGAGAGTCAGAGTGTACTGCAGACCACAGCTGAAAGGCCAAGTCCCCAGGCTGTGCTGGTGAGGGTGCGGAGAGACCAGGAAAGGACAGGGTGCTTCAGGTCCCCAGAGCTTCTCCTATCATCTGCAAGCCATGTTTACTGCTGCCTTCCTGAAGGAGCCCAAAGGAAAACCGAGCTTGACAGAGGTCTCCGGAAAGCCCATCCTCCTTTGGTCATCTCCAGCCCAGCAAAGGTTACCATCCATCCATTTACTCAAACGAGTGCTTTTCTAGTCCTCTGAGAACGGTATTGGCTGAACTGTGTTCCCTCCAAGTTCCTATGTGAGGTCCAAGGCCCCAGGACTTACAGATGTGACTATATTTGGAGATAAGGTATTTGGGGGGTGAATAAGTTAGAATGGGGTCACTGAGATAGCCCTAATCCAAATGACCTGAATCGTCATGTGAAGGGAGATTAGGACACAGGTACCCTTGGAGGAAGACCATGTGACAGCATGGCGGAGGACGGCATCCACAAGCTGAGGAGGAGGCAAGGAGTAGCCAGAATGGCACCCTGATCACATGTTTCTGGGCTCCACCATTGGGAGATAATCATTAATGCTGTTTAAGCCTCCCCATCTGTGGTATTTATTTGGTACCCTAAGCAAACTGACACAAACGATAAAATCCCAAACTCCCTGAGCTCCACAAAGCTTTCCCAGACTTGTCCCATTCTTCCCCTCTCACCTTACTCCCCCCACTGTCCCTTAGGGACTAGGCTTCAGATGCTTATTTCCTCTTGGGTTCTCCCCACCTCTGGGCCTTTGCACATGATCTGCCTGCCATGGGCCCTGCCTTTCCTGCCTTCATCGTCACTCTAACAGGGCCTTCTTCTTGTGGTCCCCTCCTCACCTTGTTAGTCTCCACCCAAATTTTCTTTCTTTCATCTGCTGCTTCTTTTTTTTTTGGGGTACCGGGGATTGAACTCTGTTGCTTGCGCTTGCAAGGCAGGCCACTGAACCGCTGAGCTAAATCCCCAGCCCCTGCTGCTTCTTGATTTAAGTATCACATCTCATTACTTTTAAGATATGGATTTTCCCACATTCGAAGATTTCTGAAATGGCGGTGCATTATTTCAGTGGACAGAGCATCAGACTTTGTCAACTTTTTGTCTTTCTGAGTGGTACAAAACAAAAAACAAAACAATGGTGAACAAGAAAAGCACAATAGATCCAACTGAGTGCAGTACCAGTGTATTTGCTTGAAGACTCTCTGTCATCCCTGTTAACCTGGGATGTCGCATCAGGCCAAGACTCTTGTTCCTTTCAGTGTTGTGTCCCCACTGGTTCGAGTGGTGTGTGGAGTGAAGTATAAGTCATGCCGAGTGAGTGTTCTCTCATAGGCAGGACCGTAATGGTCTGCAGTAAAACACTGATTTACGTAAACAAGCGCTCCTGACTCCAGGCTGGCTGCAGGTCACTCACAAGCTCTGCAGATTAAGCCTCACCACTGAAAAGCCTCCCGCGCCTGGTGGTATGGGGTGGTCCTGATCTGGAGGAAGCCTGGACTGTGCTGAGTGAATGCAGCCTCCAGTCCCCCTCGTCCCAAGCCTTTGGTTGCTTAGGAGTCCAAAGGAAGTGAGTTTTGTCTCTGGAAAATGTCACTCACTTGGAAGGGGCTCCTGAATGAGAGAGCTCATTTATAAACTCCCGGGCAGCTTTCCTCCCCCTTAATCTCTTGATTGTTATTTATATATGGCCAGCTGCCCGTGTATCCCTCTGCTGGAAAATCCAGGGTGGTAGATTGTGTGAGGGCCTGCACCCTGGCTGGCTTCAGGGGTCTTTCTTTGCCACAAGGCTCCTGTCACAGGAAGGGCCATCCCCAGAGAAAACTCTTTGGGGCGGAGAACAAAGCCAAGTGTGCTGTGAGGTTAGGCACGTCCAGCCCCGTTGGGGCGTCAGAATGCTCCACACCTCACAGGAAGCCCTGGAGTCACACTTGAAATCAGTGGGGTTGGGCAAGGGCCCCTGATGGTGTGGGGCAGGAGGGCCCATGGCTAATCAGAAAGTGATGAGCCCATTGTAAAGATGGCCCTCCCTCTGGCCTGCTCAGGGGCAGGTCTCCCTGGGGACATTCTGAGGGGGGCACCCTTCTGTGATAGGCCCTGGAGAAAGTATGCCCGCTGGAAAAATAATTCCCATTCTTTCCTTAATCCACAGGCAGTGGCTGTAAATACCTGAGCGTGCAAACATCTCCCCGGGGCTGGTGGGGATTAGGCCAGAATCAGCCTGGCCCGTGGCACGGACATAGCTGTGCAAACCAGGGCCCCTGGTGACTTGTGGGGCACAGAGGGAGAGAGTGTAGAGCAAGGGCAGGTTTGAGGGGCAGAACTGCTCTGGCGTTCAGGGCCTCTTATCCCCCTCCCCATCACTAGCTGAATGGCGGCAGCTTAATGAGGCCCCTTTGCCTCTTCCCCAAATGTTTACCTTTGCACATGGCACCCTGGGCTTTGAACTGTTCAGAGAATCTCTCATCAGAAGAAATTCCTGCTCCTTACCTGGGTACTGCCCAACCCTCTCCTTCCTTGCTCCTTCTGTTGAATGCCCCACTGCTCCCTTAATTTCTCCAGCTGTTCATTTGTTCCTCTCATCCCTTCAAGCTGCTCACCTGCCCCTTCCCTCCTAGCTGCATGTAGTTCCCAGTCCTACCTGTCTTCAAGGTACAGCTCTAGTTCAAGGCCCCATTGGTTCACAAGGGTTTCCATGCATCACCGCCGTACACCCTGGACTCTAGGGGCTGAGGTCATGGGTGTGATGAGCAGGGGACCTGCTGTGGTGCTGTGTTCATGGGGCTGCTGCCAAATGCTCTGGGAACTGGAAGGAGAGTGATTCTCTGCCCCTGGATTGGGAAATTTAAGTGACGTGGCTCTCCAGGGGAAGGAGACTCCACACCAAAGGCCCCTGACAGGCGGGTCAGGGTGGGCACACAAGAGCCCCATGAGAGGTCTTGCCCTGGTCCAGGTGACTGGCACGAGCAGACCTGAGGAGAGGTGGCCTGAGTCTCTCCAGGAACAACTGGGTGGGTAGGGGGAAGCTGAGGCGATGCCCAGGGGCCAGGTTTGTGCAGGAATGGAGCTGGGAGCCCCTGGTGGGCAGAGCAGCTCCTGCCTCCGTATGGCAAGCTCCTCGGCCTTTCCATCCTCCAGGTCGGCTGCTTCCTGAAGACCCCGAGGTTCCCCATCTGGGTGGTGTGCAGCGAAAGCCATTTCAGCATCCTCTTCAGCCCACAGCCCCAGCTCCTGTCCAATTGGAGGGCCGAGCGGCTCTTTGACCTGTACTACTACGACGGCCTGGCCAACCAGCAGGAGCAGATCCGGCTGACAGTTGGTGCGCCACCCCCAACCCATCCCTCGGGGAGCCTCCAGGCCCCTAGCCCGCAGACTTCATCTGGCCTCTCAGCCCGGCCAGAAGACAATGTAGACTCCAGTGTCAGGTGGTAGGAGAGTGATGAGTGCAGGGCCTCCTGGAGGAGGTGTCCTAGAGGGGCCCTGGAGCTCCTGTCGGTGGCAAGGGTGTGAGGTGAGGTTAATACGTAACAAGAGCCCTGAAAACTCAGGCTGACGAGTTTGGATTCTTCAGGCAATAGGGAGCCATGGAAGGTTTTGGAGCAGCGAAGTGATGAGGTCAGATGTGTTTTTAGAGTCGGATCATAGCAGAAGGTCATGGGAGTGGGACAGAGGCTGGAGATGAGAGACAGTGAATTATCTGAGCAAGACATGTCTGGGGGTGGAGGTGGGTCCAGTTGAGATGGAAATAAGGGGGCAGGGCTTGTGGTTACTGTGCTGACCCCAGGTGTGTGCGGAGCCCTGGAGTGACATGTATACCACTTTCTCCTTCCCAGACACTACCCAGACCATCCCTGAGGACAGCGGCAAGGACCTTGTCCCTCCTCTGGAGCTCTGCATCAGGACCAAGTGAGTTGGGCCAGCTCTGGCTTGAGAACCTTGCCCCAGATGGCTGGGATGGGGATGCAGGGAGAGGATGGGGTCCTGGAGCCCCCACCCTGAGGGATGTGGTGAGGCGATACTGCACCTGGGGCTTGTCAGAGGCCATTTCCCCATCCTCACTGTGGCCTATGTGGCATGAACCTTGCAGCTCTGAGATGTCCTCATAGCAGGGTGGTGCTGTGCCCTGTGCTGAGTACTGTTAGACTGTAAGGGACACTGTTGGCTTGGTGGGAACTGGAAGGTGCAGCAGCACTGGAAGGCAGGAAGGCTGACCCAGCCAAGATGAAGTGGGATGTGGTGGCTGGAGCAACAGCTCCCTCTGTGTCGGGTAGAGGTGGAGGGGCTGTGTTGGCCACCCTGAACACTCGGCAGAGGTGTAGCCCTCAGAAGCTGGTGGGAGCCCATTTCCCTCAGGGTTCTCCACTGGGCCCCAAGTGGGGGCCGCACCCTGCAGGTCTGGCAGTTGTCACTGTCAGGAGCATAGGTCCAAGCCTGGGTGGTGACCTCCAGGAGGCCACAGCCTTGCTGGTGGTAGAAGAGGGCAGCCTTGGGAGGAAGGAAACCTGGATTCTCTTCCCTTCCTTCAGGGCAACAGCCGAAGTGGCAGTAGCTGTGAGCCTGGGTGCTGTTCAGGCCAAGCCCTGGCTCCCTTGTGAGCTGTTGGATTTCACCTATTTGTACCTGCCTTTGTCATCTGCAAAATAGGGGCAGTGGCAGTTCCTAGCTCCCGGGGATCTTTAGGAGAGTGCTGGGACACTTCCACATACTCTGCTACGTTAGCTCTCATCTTGAGCCACTAGGCTGCTCGGCATTGGTGTGGCCCGAGGCAGAATCTCCATTTTCCTGCCTGTAAAGGGACTGGGGCCAGGTGGGGGCTGTGGACACCAGCCCAGGCCCAGTTCCGACTCCCTGAGATCCAAAGGGCACAGCGGGGCCCAGGTTCACTGTCTGCCTACAGGTGGGTGAGCCCTGGAATGAGCTGGGGAAGACCACTGAATCAGGGGAGTGGGAGGGAGCCAGACGTCCGCACTACTCCGCGCTGTCCCTGTCCCTGTCTGTCCACCCGCCCTAACCTGGCAGAGATCCCGCGTTCTTGCAGGGTCATGTCCTAGGACTGTTTTCATCAGGGGATTAAGGGCACATGCAGGTCTCTGTCTTTCATGTACAAAGGGCCACTCATTCCAGGTGATGAGAGAAGGGCCGCAGTAGGGAAGGGAGGTGACACCGGCTGTGGCACCTGGTGTAGCACAGCACAGAGGTCGCAGGTCATCCTTCCTGCGGAGCACCCACAGGGCTCAGACCACACCCTGGGTATAGGCTCAGCCTCCTCTGGGGCCCTGGCTGGGGCTTCTGTCTGGCTGTGTCTCTGTACGCCTACAGGGCTGCCTCGACTCCCCTACTGCTCACTTTGGGTAGAGAACAAGCTTTCCCCAGAAAATCGTTCTATCTTAGGACTCAAAGTTCCTCCCGGCATGGGTCCCAGTTGAATTTCTGGGGTGCAGCCCTAATTGGCAGTTGTTTGACTTGGGCTCCGGCCTATCTGAGAGGCAGCCCTTGCCCAGGACCAGCATAACAGGGAGCTCAGACCAGACTCCTGGGGGGTCCACTGGGGGCTCTTCTGTCAGCTGCCACTGTCTCCCAGGGCTTCCTTCTCCACTCCAAGTGGCAGATCTCAGGTGATGAGGGAAGCTGGAGAGGCGGCTTGCCTCAGGGAGTGAGCCAGGGGTCTGGGGGCAGATATCTAGGCGGGGCCTGCCCTGCCCTTACTTGTGCTCACTGCTGTGGGCTTGGGCAAGGCTAAGCCCTGGCATCCCCAGCAGTATCTCATGGAGCTTGTGGGGAGCACACAGGCTTAGGGACAGCAGGCCTGGGAACTCTGCCCCAGACTCCTGCCCGGCTCCCTGAGGTATGGGAGAGCCTGTGTCTGTTTTCAGCTTGTGCACTGGGAGGTCTTGCTCCAGAGCAGGGGTCTTCAAGCTTCAGGGACATGCAGATGCTCTGAAGAATGTGTCAGAACACAGATCTCTGGCCACCCAGGGCTCCTGCTGCAAGGCATCCAGGGAAGGGCCTGGGTTTATCTTTCTAAGAAGTTCTTAGGACTGTTGGTGCTGCTGGTGCTAGGGCCACACTTGGAGGAGCTGATCTGGGGACTGCAGAGGGTCAGGGCTCCCCCTTCTAATCCCCACCGTGTCTGCCTCGTGGGGGTCAGATATCAAGTGAGGCTGTGACCGTCCAGTGTCCCACCTGCGTGACACGCTGGGCTAAGGGCTTTCCTCTGAAGCCCAGCCTTCTGCCAGTTCTACTGGCCCATTCCCCACCCCCACAGTGGGGCTGCCTGGCCAGCTAACATGGTAGGATTTCCCAAAGTTATTCCCAGAAAGGCTGAGTGAATGAGGGAAGAGTGGGATCACTGTGTCCGCTCCCCTCTCCCCATCAGATAACAGAGCATTGTAATAGGAAACAGCAGACTAGCCCCCTGGAATCCTACTCTGAGGGGTTGGATTACAAAGGCTTTGCATTTTGTCTTCATCCCAGATTCTCAAACAGCTCAAAGGAGCGACTTGTGAAAGGGGCCTGCAAGGTCATGGTGAGGACCTGCTGGAATGGTCTCATCTTTGGGGGCTGGGGCTGGGGCCCCCGGGTGAGTTATGCTGCCTGATGCATGGCCTATGCTCAGGCCATTCCCAAGGCAGAGTTTGATTCCAGGCATTTGGTGAGATGCAGCTAAATGCTTATGCTGTCCTGCCCGTCTTGCTAGATGGGCTGGATGGCAGGATTGCTACTTGATAGACAGGTGGGTTTTCCCTCCCACCACATCGATGCTTATAAACTCGTGAGCTGAACTTCATGGAAGCAACAACTAGATAAGAGTTGGTTCCCTCTCTCAGAGACTGTACAGTGATCAAATAAAGAGAGGCCAAGTACAGAATCAAACCTGCTCTAATCCAGGGAAGGTCCTCCATCCACCTTGGCCACCCACTCTACCTACCCTTGGCCTAGCTCTGTTGCCCTGCAAGAAGACCTGGCTCACACGGACCCAGCACAGCCCACACCACACATCTGGCCACCTGGCACCTTGCCTGAGTCTACAGAAAGGTCCAGGAACATCACTTGGTGTGGCCCTTTCCTTTACAGACAGGGCGGTGGGGGTTCTCTGAATGGACTCTCTTCCCCAGCCGTACCTCCAGGCATGAGCAGCTTAGGCTCTCACTGTTCCAGCCCAGAGGAAGGTCACTGAGAGGACAGCGTGACTTCCTGACACCTGGCTCTGTTGCCATAGAGACATTGCACAAGCCCAGACTGGGTTTTGCCTTCGGAGAAGAGCATCTTAATTGGAACCATCCGTGGGTCCCTGTGTTGTCCTTACTTTTTGGTGTGACGCACATCTCGGCCTCAGAGAGTCTCTTGTTACCTTTTCTGTGTCAGGAATGTGGGGTCTGCTCCCCTTCCCTCCCCTGTCCAGTTCTCTAACCATGTCAGCGGAAGCAGACCCATTTAGGGTCATTTCCTCACAGGACACACACAGTGACCCCTCTCGTACTTCCAGCCTAGCTGGAGTGAGAGAAAATGAAAGACTTGTCATGCATCCAGAAAGAAGAGGAAAGAGCTCAGAACTGGGCCCACATGTTTCTGTTCGGAGACCCAGACCAGAAATTAAAAATGTAATTCGAGCTGGGATGAGTGCCCTCAGAGGCCTGGACAGAGTGCCCACCTCTCTCAGTGACGTCCCTGCCCCCAGGAGCCCCCTCTCCCACATTTCCTGCTGGGGCCCTGGCTGAGGCTCCTCCATCACAGTGCCTCTCATCCATGATGTCGCCACTACCTCCTTGTCCACACCAAGCACGCCCTCCTGATAGTCCACTACCTGTCCATATCTCTGACTTCACTCTGTGGTTGTCATGTGTGGATTCTGCTCCTGGCCTAGTTTTCCCCATATGTCACCTGAGTATCACCATACTTTCTCTTAGCTGTTTGTGAGATCAAGAAAAGAGCTGCAGAAAGCAGTCCCTCTCCTTTGGGGAACACAAGGAGTGTAGCACAGGGGACAGTGGACGAATCAGGTAATGGCAAGTAGGGTAAGGGTCCAAGGGGAACAGAGAGGACAAGAGACAGTGGCCACGGACATGGGCAGGGCTACACAGCACTTGATCAAAGGGAAGGAGAGTGAAGTGTGACTGAAGACCCAGGCTTCCCTGATGGGTGTGTGAGAGGGCAGTGGGCTCCAGAGCAGGTGCTCAGAGGAGCAGCTGGTATGGACGGCCATCCTCACACCACAGTCCCCTTGCGACAGGGGACACCAGTTCTGCCCTGAGCCTGGCCCAAGTGCTAAAGGTCCCCAGGCAGCCTGGCAGCCAGATACCACTTGTGCCAGGAGGAGCCCTAGATCTGATTTTAAAGGAGGGTAGGCAGGGGAGGAGGATGGCACATGGGTGGAGGGCAGAGCAAAGCCAAGATCGCAGGTGGGGGACAGCCTTTCCCCCATGAAATTAAGCAGGTTCCTAGCCTTGCAAACCTGTTGAAGTAGGGAATGGTCCAGCTGTTGCAGTGATTCCCCGCTGGTGAGGAGCAGGCTTTGTTTGAGGTCATAGTGTGGCTCTCTCCATGATGTCGGGGTTTTCTTTGGGCTCCAAGGAACAGGTATTTTCACCAGCTCAACCTCTAAGCCAGAGGTCCTCAGTAGGGTGATTTTACACCCCCAGGGGTATTTGGCGGTCAGAGACATTTTTAGTTGTCAACACCAGGAAGAGGATGCTAAATCTCCTGCAATGCAACGGACAGCCCTCCCTCAAGAAAATTTATCCAGTCACAAAGGCCGAAGGTGCCTAAACTGTCACACTGCTGGCCGCTCCTGAGTTAGTGCCAAGAAGTGAGCCCAGGGCTTTGATGCTGCCCCTCCCACTGAGCACTCAAAAGCCTTTCCATTCTCTCTCTCTCATTGCCACCATCACTAATTGCTGTTGGTTGCACACACAGAGCTCTTTTTCTCGTCCTCATAATTGACTCATAGACATTCAGAACAGCACCCGTTCTATCTCAGCCCTTTCATTTTTTAAAATGTCTCTGATTTTCTTCCATCATCACAAACTGCTTCTCTCTGGTGCATCTCCCCCTTTGCACCTGTTTACTGGGATGGGCCAGTTAGTTACCACTGTAAATAGCCTTAAAAATCCAGCACAAACCAGATAGCATGACAGGGAGACTTAGACACTGGTATGCCTCGTGGCTGGTGGGTGTGACTCATCCCTGCCCTGAAGCCAAACCCCATTTTTGCCAAGATCTGGGAAGTCTGCAAATCAGGGATCATGGGAGAAACTTGGGCTTGCCTGTCAGAATGGGGAACGTAAAGGCTGTGTGGAAAGGACCTGGGGACCAGGCTGAGGGCAGGAATGTTCCTCTCCCTTCTGCTGCCCCTTGGAGTCCTGAAGTCAAGAGTGTTCATAACACCCAAGACTTTGATGCTTATCCCAAATCTTAATAGAGCAATAAAAGTCTTTTAAATTATATACTTCAAAATTGCAAAGACGATGAAAGGAGGAAAAAAAATGGAAACAGCATGGCAGCCTCCATGAAACACTGCATTACATTGCTGTAGGAGGCTATCTGTCCCACATTTCCTGCTAATCTACTATTAGCCCAGTCAATGCATAGACTGGACCAGCCCTGAGGAACCAGGGATCATGATGCCTTCCCAGACTGTCTTACTTCCAATCTCTCCTCAGTTGTGCACGTCAGAGTAGAGGCATTTTTTCTGCTGGTCAGACCTACATTAGCCCCCCGGGACATCATCAGACTCCAACCTCAAACAGTAACAGCAGTCATCAATTAGGAGCACACTGACTTCTCCATGGCATGTCAAGTTGTCTCCAGACAGAGTCTCAGTGCCTCTTAATCAAGCAGTGAAGAAGAGTGTGTGATGCAAATCCATCGCATCAGTGGCTCAACCCCTAAGCATCTGATCAGCCTGACACACAGAAGCTTGGGAAAGAGTCCCATAGTCTGGTTAAAGCACCCGAAGCCCACAGAATCACTTAATTATTTCATGTCCGATGGAATGAGTAATGCTGCTCTTTCCAACACACATGATGACATTTGACAATGAAGCTAGGCAGGGCTCACTGATGACTGTTACCATGCATCTCTTGTCACACATTAGGCCGGGAGTGGGTCTTATTAAGATGGTACTTCCCATATTTATTGTTAAAGGATTTCTTTTTTTTTAAAAATGCAGACACTTTTAAATATCCAGATGTGTTTCTGAGCACTTGTGCCAAGAAGGATCTAAGGAACCAGGGGGCCTGGTAGGGAAGTGGTACTCCCAGCCTTGCGTGCCGGAAGGAAAGATTGATTGCCCAAGGGCCACACAACCCCACTTGGATGAGATCTCTGAGTATCGTGGACTATTAACACACGACACTGAAAGGCACAAAAAGGTAATTTTGGAAAGAGTTCCCTAAAAACATTCATGGCTAAGCAAGTTTGCCAGCATCTACCCATTTCAGTGTCAGTGTATTTGAATAAGAGGATACAAGTCAGCGCTTGTGTACAGACGGCGGATCTCCAGCTGTTAAGCCGGGTGCACAGCAGCAGGCAGGGCTGTATCTTGTGTCAAGACTGTGATGAACATGACATTCACACATGCCCCGCTGGCTGTGGGAGATACACCCTCACAGTGCCCTGGGTGGAGTGAGGACAATGTGATATTAATCATTCCCAAATGCACTGCATGCAAACACCATCTTCTTCACCAAACAATTCTATGGGAGCCAGAGGCACAGCATTGGCATTAAAATTTTTTTCTCCAAGAAATCTCTTTGCTCCTTGGAAGAGACCTGAAATGGTGTGAAGTAGAGAAGATACACAACAAGGGACGACACAGTGTTTACAGCTACCAGGAGTTCGGCTGTCACCAATAGGAAGGCAAGTTGAAAGATCAGACTGAGCGCGAATGGAAGGGTGTCACTTCCAACCCCCAAATCAGAGATGCCACTTAAAGCCGTGCACAGAGCTGAAGAAAGAGAGTGGACACCTGAGAGAGGGAAGAAAAGAAAAATCAGTGGGAAATGTTATCCCTTGGTACCTGCACAGCCTGTTTCCAGGTTCACCAAGGATAGCATACTCTGAGGATGCTCAAGTCACTTCTATAAAATACTGTAGTGTAGTATTTGCATGGAACTACCCAGTCATTTATATACTTTAAATCGATGATGGTAAACTATGGCACACATGCCCTAGTGGGCCGTTTGTGTCATGGACAGCTCCAAAAGGTTTGCCATCACTGCCTTAAATCACCTCTAGGGGACTTAAAATACCTAATACAGTGTCAGCATTACATAAGTAGTTGTATTATTTAAGGAATAATGAAAAAAGTCTGTACATGATCAGTACACACATACTTTTTTCATATTTTTGATTCATGACTGGTTGGATCTGTGGGTGCAGAACCCACAGATGAAGGGCACCAACTGTTCTGGAACCAGTTGGCGCTCCTGGGCGTGCCGCTGGGAGATATAGTGGTGTTACTTTGGGACAACCTGTTTGATCCTTTATTGAAGTATCTAGGGACACTAGACTTTCCCAGGCTGGTGAATGATTAAAGCGAGGATAGCTTTCCTTTTGTATTGCTCTATGGCAGTTAGAATTTTGACTTCAGTTCTGAAGAAAAACTTAAGGTTTTCAAAGTGAATTGTAGGCTCCCTCCCCACGCCTTAGGGTTTGGAAACCATTTATAAATCTGTCTCCAACTCTGCATTGCTGCTAAGATGTGCCACATCTGTGTTCTAGTCCCAGTCTTAGTAGACACATACAGAGTTTACCTATTGCAAGATTTCCATAAATTCTCTGTCTGCTGCCAGTGATTCCTGTTTTACAAAATCAGCACCATGCATTAAAATCAAGGGTTAAGAAGTGTCATAGTCTTATCTACAGTAACTTTTATGTTGGAATGGAACTACTATTTAGTTGTATCTTGTCCTGGACTTTAATTCTACTCAGTGCTTCTTATGGCTTTATAAAGTGGTTTTTAGAAACTCTGGCATGCTCCTGTGGTGCTCAGAGCCCTTCACGGGCCCCTGTGGTCTTACAGAAAAACCCAGAATCCTTGTGATGTCCTGCTTGCCAGGGTCATCTCTTCACATCTTTCCTGGTTCCGGCCACTGGACCTTTTCCAGCACTTTGGACACCCCAGGGTATCTACTTTCCTAGTCCTGCACAGGCATCTCTAAAGAGCCACCATCAGACGCCTCTGGAAAGCAGCTGGGCCAAAATAATGCCTGGACCACGCCCAGGAGCACAGGGCCCGGAGTGCCCGGCACAGGATCAGCTGTGGCATAGATGGATAAACCACCTGCCCACTGCCTCCTCCATTGCTATTGGAGGTCCTGGTGTATCTGTTTTATGAGGATGTGTGGGTTGTTTGTACATGTGGAGGAGAGAAGTGGATAGGATGGCAGTGGAAAGCCTTCCTCATCTGAAATGAGACTTCTGGTGAGCATGGGGAAGGCAGTGTTTCTACCTGGCAGCTCTAACTCTCCTGTTGCTCTGCCTTTAGGTGGAAGGGGGCCTCTGTGGACTGGAATGGTTCAGATCCCATCCTGTGACCCTGGATGCAGGTTATAGCTCCACTACTCATCCCTGGGGTGACCCTTGAGCCCCAGGCCTCGGGGCAGGTCTCCAAGAAGAGCGTCACTTCCACCTGAGCTAACACTGCTACAATCGAGCAGAGCCTCCGTGCTCCTCCCATGCGGGTTCACCGAGGCTAAAATGGGCCCTGAGTGCAGTTGCATTGCCTCCCCATGGACCCTGACTACCAAGGATGGAAAAGAAGCCATTACTGACTCTGCTGCCATTTGTTTGCTTCCTTCCTTTGTTCCCTACCCTTGCCAAGATCTCTGAAATGGTTGGCCCTGGAGACCCAGGGCACTGGTTATTTCCAGTAGTCGGTTTTCTATAAAGCAAGAGTCAAACCACACTTAGGATGGAGGCTTCTTTATTCTACTGGTGCAAAGGAGAATACAGCCTG